GTATATATATATATATATATATATATATATATATATATATATATATATATATATATATATATAAAAAAAAAAAAAAAAAAAAAACACAAAAAAGGAAATAATTCAAGATAAGCTGAATGTGTTATAAGAGAAATAAAAATCAAATGTATAATTGTAAAATTAGATATATAGAAAATATTTCTTTGTAAAATTAGAGCAGGACTATGATTGTATAGCAAATGACCCAAGATAGAAACTTATGGAGAAATGTAATTAGGGAAGCTGACCCCACATAAGGATACAGGCAAAGAGAATGAAGATGATGATGTTATAATGAAAAGTAAAAAAATAATTGGGTTCAAGATTAAACCCTGAGGTACACCACTGAGTACTTGAAGCTCTGCAGAAACCGTTAAACAGAATCTTTTGGTTTTTTCAAGAATTTTTTCTTTTTCCTCTTCAAATATATTTGGCAAGCTTCTTTTTTAACAGGATTATTACCAGAATAAGGTCTGCTATCTTTACCCTGAATTTTATTATTTATACATTTGCACCAATTATGCAACAATGTGCATGTAGTTATTTTAATAATTGAATCTACTATATCATGTTTGTGCTCCTTACAAGAAAAAATATCCAAATTTTGTCTAATAACATGTTGTTTTATATCAGTTACTAGGGTTTTAGATGAAGGAGATGTTTTTAAGAAAAAATTTATTGTCTGTAACAACATGTGAAAAAAATTCACAAATCCCTCTGTTGGATAACATAACCTGTAACCCCATCCATTATTGTATTCTCCAACTCGTATTAATTCATTATCTGGATTATTTTTTCCTGTAAATAAAGAAGTTTTACAAACTTCACATTTTTTACACAGACTTTTAATTTTTTTCAAAATGAATCCTGCTACATAATTTGTTACCAACTTGCTTAACTTCTCACGTAAATTGACAACATTTGTGGGAATAGTTGGTATGTCTTGCATCACATAATCATTAGGAATAACATTTTCCCTGTTATTGTAAAAAAATGTTTTAGTGGAAGTAAACCAATTTGTGCTTCCATCATCTTCACAATTAAATGATGCTTTATGAATTTTAAAACTTGAATTCACCATCATTGTTTTAAAAATACCAGCAAAACTTGATGGTGAGGGATTTGTATAGAGTGCCCCATAAGCTCTAGCTTGTCCAAATATATTTTCGATGGGATCCTGGTTCAAACGTCTGGGTAACAAGTATTTGAATCCTAATGTTTTCAAGGTATTCCAAATAGAAATTAAATTTTTAATAGTAAATATCCAATTTTTGAGGCTCGGGGGACGAGCTTGGTCATGTATTCTTTTTTTTTTCAAATGCCATTGACTAATGTATCACTTATTCCACATCTGAGAATTTTTCCTCGCTCTGCAGATTTTCTTCCACCATTCACTGAATCAAACAATCTATCAAAGAAGAGTAGAAGTCTGGCAGTATCTGCTGCACCTTCCCCAATAACCTTGTTGTTGTCTGAAACAATACAATAGAATAAACAGATGCTGCAACAGCAGTTTTTGTCACATTTACTTACCAAGTCTACTAGCTAACATAAGTGTTGATGAAAATCGTTGACTAAAAACTTGAGCAGCTAATTTGACTTTCATTTTCTTCATTTTTGATTCCTCGATGTGTAGATCTGTGATGTGCGGAAGTGCTCTTAACAGAGAACATACGAACACAGAGAAGCGACACGAGGCCCGGAATTCGTGTATCTTTTCTGTATACGCATGACCCAAATAAGGTGCTTTACTGTCAAAAACACGTGCGTTTTCTTCAATTTTAAGTTGCTTACGATAGTCCGTAGGCATCTGTGGTAAACTCTCGACTATACAAGTGCATTTGACCATTTATCTAATTATTTAGTAGTTAAAAGTTTATAGTTATAGTTTATAGTTATAGTTAAAATATATAAGTTAAATATATAAGTTTATAGTTATAGTTTATAGTTAAAAGTTTAATTTATAAGTATTTAAAATGTCTTCTGGTTATTGTTGTGCGTTTCGCGGATGTTCATCTGTGACAGGAAAAGGAATAAGTTTATTTAGATTTCCTAAGAATAATAACAGGTAATTACTATTGCTTTGTAATTATTATTAGTTATTACATAATAGTATTAATTTGACTTTGAGTAAGCCGACACCGACGTGTCCGCCCGAGCTCTCGTTAAGTGAAGCAATAAAAAAATAAATTTTGGTTTGCCAAGGGATAGTTCAGAATAAAAACCAGATAACTACGAACACACATTAAATTTATTGTCTCCGAAGGCTCAGGTCAAAAAATCAACACAGATGTTGGCCTACTGGTGTGAAAGCGCTCGCAGACAACAATACGAATATAGTATTTTTAGGAAATAAAAATATATAGGGGGTTTTATACACGAGAATATTTGATTTAAACGAAACAAAGAAATTCCGAAAATGCTCAAACTAAAAATTGTTGGAATGGAAACATAATTAGATCGAAAATTGGGAAAATCTTAAAATTATAACAGAACAAGACTTCAAAATAAAAACATGATTGCAAATAAATAAACTTACATTAACATAACTTCAAATATTTGCTGTCTTTTTCACCAAACAAACTTACATTAAATTATGAAAAAACTAAATGCTCATCTACTTTTTGCTATATACAAAAGTTGTCTGTCAATGTTTAATTCGTTAAATATAAATAACAAAGATCAAATATATGGATCGGAGTACACAACATATTTAGGGAATAAATATTTAAATGGGAATTACAAATAAAAAATATTAAAACTTTATTTATTGTATATCTCAATATTTAGTGACAATTTTGAAACTTAATTAGGAGAAAACTGTAAATTTATTAAGATGAGATATTGACAAAAGTTAAATACTTCATTACTTACAATACTTTTAGAATATACTAATACTCTTATAGTTGTAAGTAATGAAGTATTATTTATAAATACAAAAAACTCTTTTCTACTAGTCAAACCCTTTCATTTGATACCCATATTGAAGTAGTTGTGAAAAAATAAGTAATCCGCTATTGTGTAGCGGCGTCCATCTTGGATATACAATGATACTGAATGTATGTAGTGTATGTATAGTCGATTCGCTAATCTCAGACACAACTATCTAGTATTTTAGTAATTATTTTATTGCGAAACTTAGTTACCTTTTAACAGACTAGAACTGGATGACAATTACTATATTTACAACCAAGCACATATGCCCATAGAAAATATTAAGAGTAAACAGACATAAATCTTACTCCAATCAATCATTATTTATTTACACCGTTATATAATTCCACAACAGACAACGGAAGATTTGACCAATAATTTAAAGGTAAATGCTCCAAATATACATTTTTACTTCAAGAAGTTAAAGTTTAAGGAGTACCAAGCAAACTTTAAAGTTTCATATCCATTGGATTATAAAAATGAAGTTCTCAATCCCAGTATCTGGCCTGAAGGTTCAGTGGTTCGTCGTTTTGACTTCAAGTATAAGAATTGTACTAACCGCAGTTAACAACAAAACCAGAAATAATTGTTACAAATCCGGCTTAGGCAAACTAGATACTACAAATAATTTTAAAGGCAATACCAATCAACTAAAAATCGTATGTATTAACTCTGAATCTATTGTAAACAAAATAAATTGTATCCAAATATTAGTAGAAAGTCTGGATTTACTATGTATATCCGAATCATGTGTAATGACAATAATATAAATTCGTTTTATCTTCCTAATGCTCTCTTGTAATGATTCGTAATACTTTTTTGATTATTTTTTAGGTTATTAGGATAAAGATAATTTATTAGGAAATTCCACGACGAACAAATTATATCTTGTATCAACACAAGCCAAAAAGAATCGGTGTATTATTGTATTATCAACGTCAACATCAGAATAAACAAAAAAGTATTTTCATCTATGGTTCCATCAATACGATTTTCACCATTACTTTGCGTTGTGCGATGTATTTGCAACCTTTTGTAAATCAAAAATAATTACACCATTTAGAATGTCAACAAAAGCCGGCCCTGCATGTAATTATTTTTTCAGTGCAATATTTCATATTTATTGAAAGTCAACATAAATGCTCAATTTTATTTAAGAATTTATATTGTGTAATATGCCCACTGACTATTAAAAAATAAGGTGCTTTCCTGTCATTTTCACTCGTTGGCGGCTTGCCCACGCAAGATCAAAGGAGTGTCGCTTCTCTGCGTTCGTAGTTCTCTGCTCTTAAGCCCCTTAAGCCTTCATTACTTTCAGAAGCACAATCATTTTCATATGGTTAGATATTTGATGGGTATATGGTTTGTGGTACACTTTCACTATTTAGAATAATTCTTCTTTTTTTCAAAGAAAGAAGTCTGCAATAGTAGTATACTTGAGCTATTAATACTGAGAAGTAGGAATTGTTGTGTTGTAGGTTTCCGACAATGAGTCTGTCAAAATATGCCCTAGCTAAGCGAATGGAGAATATCATGGAATAGTGAACCGGGTATATCATGCTTCTAACCAGTGTGGCCAGATTGGGCGATTTATCGGCAATTGGGATACGTTTAACAAGTCTTTACAACAAAAAATTTAAGAAAATCGCAAGTCGCAAATTGGGCGATTTTATACATTTTAGCACAAGCCACTTTTTCATAAATAGTTATAGATTTCACATTTCCTTAAAATACGAAAATATAAAAAGTTCCTCAATGAGCAAATAACTTTTTTATCTTATATTAATTATTATGATACCTGTACGAAACAACAATAGATATTTTAAAAATATTTAGTTCTTATTTCTTTATAAACAGAGTTATTTTATTAAAATTAAAAAATTTTCCTATAATATTTATATCTGAAGGTACTAGTGGCGATATCTGTCGAAAATTGGCGACATTTTGACATTGAATTGGCGACACTAAAATACACTGGCGACACGAGGAAAATAAATCTGGCCACACTGCTTTTAAGTTGTGTATTCATTTGTCAATTGTCATTGTACCATGGAATGGATAGAAATTAGAAATAGATTAAAAGGAAGCCAAGCATAAGTTGACCAAAAGTTTACTTAATTTTAATATTTATTCATTATCCTAATACTTGAAGGTAAATTAAGATTGGTAAATTTTAATTTGTTTCATAGTAAGATTTGATGGTTGTTGTGTTACTGACAAATATATATTTTTTTTTATAAATTGAGGTTATAAACGGGATTGGTGATTTGTTACTGATTTCATTTGATGTCTGATTTATTTGTAGGTGACTAGTAAATTAAATAACTTCAACTAACAAACCTTCATTTATAATTCATAAGGTGTACACATTTGTATGTTATAAAATATGGCTGATAGTGATGATGAATATGATAGAAAACGCCGTGATAAATTCAGAGGAGAAAGAGCAGAAGCTAGTTATAGAGGTGCTGAAAGGGTAGCGAGACCAAGAGATGAATGGACAGAAAGGTTGGTTGCATCAATAGATTTTTTTTATAAATATCTGTCTGGTAATTTTATTTATATAGAAAAGGCAGGTTTCTCTTTTTTAATAAATTTATATCTTACTTAGGGCAATGATTAGTTTAGAGCACTCAACATAACCAAATATATTTTCCTCATCCGCGTCACAGTGTTGCCATATATTTTTTTTGGAAAGTATGTATATGAATGTTTAAAATATAAAGTTACATTTACGAAATTATAATTTGTATGAGAAGCTACAATTTTTGAATAAGTATAAAACAGCATTCATAAATATTTTCTATTACTTTAAATGCAGTTAAGATGTGGAAAGAGCTGTCAAATAATTTGCAATATTTGTCTATTAGAAACTTCTTATTATTAGATGCGAATGGTCAACCCACTACAATGACACTTGTGAATCATAAATTGTAAATTGTCGAAGAAGTTGGACGATTTTCACATTTGGTCCCATTGAAGATAGCTTCAAATGGGTTTGACAGAATGAAATATTGGTGTTTCGCAGTGTTGAAATTTACATTACAAACGAAATATATGCAATTAAAAGCAATAAGATATTTAAAAACTAATATTTAACGATTACGAAAAAAAGAAAAAGCAAATAGTTTTAAAACAGTTTTTAACAGTAAATAGTAAAATGTCAGTATAAATAATAAAATTTAAAAGGCATCTGTTACAATCTGGCAGCTTTTGGTTTGAGGGTTCTGACTCTATTGCCAAATCTATCCGCTAACCTACCAAAGGGCAATTGCCAAAAAAATTTTCTGATAATTTATTACAACTAATATCAAACGAAACAAATATTACTTCATTAATATTTTATATAAGGTATAAAATTGCAGAATCCATAAAATAATATGATAAAAATGTACCTTTTAAAAGCTTTATCTCTTTGTATTTGAAGCATATAACATATACATTATAATAACATGGCAACACTGCCAACTCAATATTTCCTTCTGTGAAACTTAATTGACAGCTAATTTGAGGCTATCTTCAATGGGACCAAATGTGAAAATCGTCCAAGAAGTTTTTATTGTATATGCATTTAATTATTATATTTAATTGGCAGAAGTATAGAGAAAGTGCCAATGAAGTTGGCTATAAACCTCATGTCAAATTTGTGTTTGCTGTATAGCCATTAGCCCAGGGAAATAAGCATTTTTTCATGACACTTGTCCGGCCAGGCAAACGACAGTTGTTTTGAGTAGTACGGACCTCTGTAACAAAAACCTAAAAACCTTCAAAATGGCGTTTTCAAAATGTTTCTATCCTTATTTGTTGCTTAGAAAGTTGCAAAATAAGTAAAAAATTTCGGTTTTTTATAAAGGTTAATAACTTTTTTGAAAATAAACTTATAATATTTATATTTCATGGGATGATGTGTCTTGTAGTGCGTAAAATAGGGTTAAAATTTCAAAGTCATCGATCCAATAGTTTAAAAGTTATTTTATTTGTTTATCCCAAATTAACATTTTTTGCAACAATATAAGTCAGAAATTTATACAGTTTTAGAAATTGTAAGGGTGGTTTCTGGTAGAAGAAGACTTGTTTTATTATTTACATTAAAAAAAAATTAAGAAAATAATTTTAAATATTGCAAAATAATTTTGCAAAATATGTCAATTTTTTGCTTATAAACAATTAGAATAACTTTTTAACCATTGACTGTAAAAATATTATTTTTACATATTTAAAAATATTGAATTTTTTTACAAATTTAAATAAAAAAAAGTTTGTCCTAAAATAGTTTGGTACAAAGTTAGCCTCTTTTTTTATTTAATTCATAACATGTTTGTTTATAACAATTAAGAAATCTAATTAGCGCTATTTGAAAGAATATACATTATAGTTTTAAACTACCAAATTTTAAAATTATTGCCCTTTAATGGAATCCTCCACAAAGGTTCAAAATGTATGTAAAATCCGTCGGCTTTGAAACTCTCGGGAGCTGAAGGGAGGGGGAAGGCGCTGTTAACTGTATCTCTTTTCCTTTTTTATGTATTTCAACGTTTCTTTTTGAACTTGTATGTACTTTTTGCGTACATTACGAATATGCATTATTTCAATAAATAAATTGTCAAATAAACCACATAATTTGTTTAAAAACAATTTTTAAATTTTCTTTAGTAGTATTTAAGTTAAGTTTAAATGTAAAACAGAAGTACTTGTCATTTCCTATATTTTGGGGAATAAGCCACAATTTAAGTTTATAATAAGTTTATTTTTGACGTTTCGATTTCTACTTCGGAAATCTTTCTCATAATACAGATCATTAATAAATTAATCAAATTTTGTTTTTGGTTACTTGGTAGAAAATTTGGTTGGGAAATTTTTCTGATAACTCTTCTGGGTGATTGATTAGGGTGAGGAAGCTCAGTAGATCTGTTTTAGTAAAAATTACAAAAAAAAGTTATTGACAAAACTTGTAGACAGCTTTAAACTCGACATTTTAAAATTAGTTACAATTATACAGGGTGTTCTATAAGATGGTGGCAGACCAAACTTATGTTTTTTAAATGAAACACCCTATATTTTATTTTGAATTTGAAATCTGTTTTACTTCCACATCACAACAATGTAAAGTTTTATTATGTTATACTGGGTATTTAAAAAGTTATAACCAATATTACCTGAAAATCGTATCAAGTTTAACTCCCTGTATAATTAAAAAGGAGTATAGGTCCATTGATCTATTGCAACCATAGTTTTTTAATAATTGTTAAAAATTATAAAACATATTCGTTTTCATAATATTCGTTAAATCAAATACATGGTAAGTCAAAATGCAAGTACATTATTTTCTTGGTAATTTTATATAGAACACCCTGTATTTTATATCACTATCGAAAAGTACTAATATCGTACTACAAATTTTATAGGGTACTCCCTGTACATAAAGTTATTAGTTTTCTAGATATTTTTATTTTTCCATCAAAGTATAAATTTTGGAGATATTCATATCTATTCTGTAACTTTTGACAAATCGAATAGAAATCCCAAGTCGAATCGTAATTACTCGAAATCGGAATGTTGGATATCTATCGCGTCGTTTTTGTGTTTGGATTGGCATTCTGTAACTCACATCGTAATCGTGTAAATCGAAAACGTCAACTTCTCTTGACGCGCTCAGAAGTTGGTGGCAACGCATTGAAACGCGAAAGAAGTGTTCTGTGACGTTAAGTTACTGGAAAAGCTAGTGCTCGCGAAAATTCATCAAAAAAGAAGATTATATTTCACGTCAAGTAGTTTTGACATGTTTTGGTTAAGTTTGAAAAGTTCGTTACAAAAATAAGAATACAAAATGGCAAGCGGGAAAGCAAAGAAAAAGACATTTGCTGAGCAGTTAAACTATTTAGTAAACTTTATCTAAATAAATAACACCACCGACGAAAAAATGAAGTAGCTATAAAAATTAATCAACCGCTAACTTATATCAAAAAGTCAACAAATAAATGTCAAAACAACCAATGTGCAAGCGTCAAGACCAATTTCGATGTCGAAATTTGATCTCGACAGAGCTTGTCTAGTCGAAATCAATTTCTACACAACATTCCGATAATAGAGGCCGAGATGAGTTACAGAATACCGATTCCTACAAATTCCGATCCGACTTGCTGACCTCTACTCGATTTGACTCATTTCTATTCGATTTGTAGTTACAGAATAGGGCTGAATGTTATATTTTTATTATATTTCTAATTTATTGTCTTTTAATCTAGTTCATTGTCTGTATTCTAATTTATTAAAACTCACGGTAATTTATTATCGATTTATTAAATAAAAACTGCACAATTATTTTATTACGTTTCGTACATCTAAACCGCGTTTCGCGAGCGTCTAATTTATCTTCTTACTAACTAACTGTCCGCTCAATAACATGTATTTGTATTTATATATAAAATGCCGCTATCTTAAAAAGTCTGGAGAGGCACAGATGACTCATTCAGTAGGTCTCGAAAAGTCAATCGCATTCTGGTAAATTCGGAGGGTCACCGCCGACGGCATTCTAGTTACCTGGTTTCTTTTAGTCGCCTTGAAGGTTCGATTTGTTGTTTTCATAGCTTCTGTCTCAGGTAGATTTGACCTATAAATTACGAGAATGAATAAACATATTTACGGTTTTTAATATGACTCATATAATCTTTTATGTAACAATATTTTAACGTTTACCAATAATTATTGTGAGTTGACCATGATTGATTTGTCAGAAACTGACAGTTTGACATTATTGTTTATTAATTCAGTATTGGGGTACATCGTAAATTAGCAACAATTATTATTTAGCAATTCAATAATTTATTCAATTTAAATTAGCAATAATGAATTTGACTACTGATGAAATGATAGATAAATATGATCTGGATATTGGGGGAATGCAATAAAAATTCATTAATCTCAGCTAGAATTTATCATGAACGGTTTCCAGATAGACGGCAACCTAGACAAGATATGTACATTTGAAAAATTGAAAGATCGATTTAACCGCACTGGTTCAGTGAATTATGAAAAACATGAACGAAAAAAACTAGTGTGACAGAGGAAAACGAAATGAGTGTGTTGATGGCAGTTACAGAAAACTCACTTACAAGTATAAGGAGTATTTCCAATAAGCAAGAACTTAGTTACTACTCTGTTTTAGATAGAATGTCAAAACATTCTATCTAAAAACAAGATGCACCCATATCATATTCAAAAGCACCAAGAATGAAATGATGATGATTTTCGGAAACGAATAGTATCTTGTGAATAGTCCTTAAAAAAAATTAATGAACAGAGATTTTTTTTGATTATATCATATTTGGTGATGAAGCTGCATTTCACTGAAACGGTTCTGTTAATAGGCATAAATAACTTTCACTACTATTCAACAAGTAATCCATACCAAATAGTAAGACATAGTCAAACAAGATAATCTTTAAATGTGTGGGGAAGTATCGTGGGTAACCATGTAGTAGGACCATATTTGTTTAAATATAACGTAA